AGTATTCCTGAAATACCAGCGGTTATTAATACGGTACCTGAAGGCGAGCATATTTACGGAGAATTTCACGAATGCGATTTTAAAATATGTCAAACTATTAGCGGCATCTGCTGCGATTCGCGCGCATCCTCGCTGGCGGAAATTGGGTGCGATATTTCGGCGAATTATCATCTCGCACAAATGCATTTTGAAGTTTACGAGTTTAATAAAAGACTGCATTAAGAATTGCTCTTAAGTTTAATTTTGATGAAATACGGCCTCTTCGAAGACGACGAGGATTGCGGCTCGACTGCTTTATATGCAGCTAGAGCGTAATATAAACTCAACAAGTTTTTATTTTTTGTCGTTTTGTACTGAAATTTAGACGGAGAGTCATTTTATATTGCACGAGAGTATAAGACACCAAAAAAGTTATTATTCGAATTAAAGTTTTCAAAGGTTTCAAACCGTGGTCAGGACCAAAAAAATTAAAATAAATTTTACACATAAAAAATTCACTTGATTTAAGTATAATTTGCTTAAACTAGAAATACATTACATTTCTTTTAAATATTAACCTATCCTTAAATTAAAAAAAAAATATTTCTTAGCTTAAAATCAAGTATAGTTGAAACAAGATGATTGACCTAATATTGTCAAGGCTAAAACTAACATTAAACTAAATATTAAGAAAGACTTTAAATGAAATAATCTTATTCCTAATTTAAGATTAACAATCGATTAGACCAAATTTTGGAAAATTCCCTCTTTTCTGTTCTTAAAGATATAAAACTATAGTTTTATATAGTATAAGTATATACTGGATATAAATATAATTAAATTTATTCTAAAATTAGTAAATATTGGTACGACTGGCCTATTCTTAAAAATATCATTTTTTTCAGGTTAAGTTAAGCATTAATTGTTATACCTTTGACAGAGTTCACATTTGTACACCGATTTTTATAAAATTAGAGTATATTATTGAGGAGACTTAAAGAATACTTTTTAATACTGTTCACATCATTTGATATATACAGGGGGGGCAACAATCGCTTATTTTTAATAAAGCAAAAGCGTAAATTCATGATTTTGGCATAACACGCAAAACAGATTTATCCCCATTTTTTTTAGATATTTCTACGTTTATCAGGTTACAAAATGGCATTCTTATTAACCTTTTATAAAAAAATAGATTTTTAATAAAATTAAATAAAATAACGCTTAGAGAATATTTAAAATGTTGTTTAATTTAGGCTTTTTAATAGTTTTCAATTTTGAACAAAAAACTGGTTTTTGATCGGCACTCTTTGGAGATTTAAAAATGATATTTACCAAAATTCTAACTGCTTTTTTTTAAATTTGTTAAAAATTATTTTTTTTTTCATTATTTGTGTATCGCAGTCTACCTTTGCCAGAGTACTCATTTGTACACCGATTTTTATTGATTGCAGTTTCTTGTTCGGGATCCTTTGGTAACTTTAAAATGATATTTACCAAAATCCTAGCTGCACCTCTTTTCAAAATTAAAAAAAAAAAAAAAAAATTTAATTTTTGTTTATCTTACCTTTGACAGAGTACACATTTGTACACCGATTTTTATAATATTGGAGTATATTGTTAACGAGACTTGGAAAATACTGTTTTCATACTGAGCACATCATTAGATTTATACAGGGTTAGCCAAAAATCACTTTATACAGTAAAAATCATAATGCACAAAAAAGATTTATCTCCAAAAATTGTTAATTTATTTAATTTTATTCAAAATCAATTTTTCTTATAAAGTCTTAATAAGAATCCCATTTTGTAGCCTGATAACATAAAAATATCTAAAAAAACATGGGTGGGATATATCTTTTTTGCGTGTTATGCCAAAATCATGAAGTTACACTTTTGCTTTATTAAAAGAAGCGATTTTTGGCTAACCCTGTATATATTAAATGATGTGCACAGTATAAAAAAGTATTCTCCAAATATCCTTAACAATATACTCCAATATTATAAAAATCGGTGTACAAATGTGTACTTTGTCAAAGGTAGACTTTAAGATAAACAAAAGTTTAATAAAAAAATCATGAATTTTCAAAAAAATTCGAAGAGAGAAGCAGCTAGGATTTTGGTAAATATCATTTTTAAGACACCAAAGGGTCCCGAACAAGAAACTGCAATCAGTTTTTGGCGGCATTTTTATGTGACTTAAACTTCGTTCAGGCACACCGTGTTGTACTAAGATGATTAATCTTTAATATAGAAAAGCTTTTTTTCCGGTACACAAAAAGTACAACTTTATAGAAAAAATACTGTAGTTAACTTAAATGTGATGTAAATTAAAAATCATCATAAGGAAGTGATAAAAATAATGAAAAATTGTTTATAAACACTTGTAAAGTCGTAAAGGAACTAAAAACAATAACAAATCAAAAACTATTTGACATTATTTCTGGAAACAGAGCTAAAAGCTAATTAAATTTCACAATCTAATATTCCAAATGTCTCGCATAAGCTTAATACGTTTATATCGTTTTTATTGCAACAATAAACGGGCGCGTAAACATCTAAATTTACATACCAATTAGAAAGTATGCTCCTCGCTCTGTATGTCTTTTGACGCCGGTATTAATAGAACACTTGGTGCATCATTCGCCTCTTTGGGCCCGACACATACGCATTAATTATAAAAACAATACGGTGGCATCTCTCCACTCTCTCTCTAGCCAACTACCATATGTTTCGAATCTCCAAGGAGACAAAAAGACGACGATCGCGAAAAAACAACACAAGCACAAATAGGTTGCAACTGCCGGTTTCAGTGCCGGCTTAAGAGTTTTGCTAATTGGTCCATAAACGGTCGATAAAAATTTTAAAGGGAAATTATCTGTATTAGTTATAAACTAAGTGATTATTGTCAGGAAATAAAGCATATAAAGCAATTCCAATACGGTTTTTTGTTTTATCCTAATTTATTTAAAAAAATGTTCCAAATACTTTTATAAAAGCATGTCTGCTAAATCCATCACTGTCTGTTTTATTTTATTCGGTGCTGCTACCCAAGTAACACTAATGCTCTTATTGTGATCTCCAAGGTCGCTTTCAAACTATACAATAAAACCAAATGATCTTCAAGGCAGCCTTACGACCATTATAAAACAGCTTCTAGCCAAAAAGTGCCCATCCTAAGGGTCTTCAAGACTAAATTTTAAAACTATATTAAAACCATTTAGTTTTAATGTTATATTCTTAAAAAGTACTGTAAGGCAGCTTTAAATTTATGTATATATGTATTTAAATTTGTATTTAAAATATACTTGCAGCAGGAATCAATCATAAAAGAGTTTTATTTTCTTAACTAAAGTGGGACAACTTTTGTGTAAAATAGTTAATGACACAATGAAAAAAAAAAATGCTTAAATTAACCAATAAATGCACACACAATGTTGTTTACTTGGAGTTAAAAGAACCATTCATGAATGTTAAAATATAAATGTTTTAACAACTTAAAATTATTAAATTAAAATTTTTTTGGTCCAACCACTAAAAATATTAAAATGAAATACACGGATTATTAAAATAATATTATCGTAATATTTAATAAAATTATTAAAATTATTAATTTAATGCACAATTAGTTAAATAATAAACATGGCAAAGTTTTTAATCCTTAAAAATACTTGGATTAATAAATTAATAATTAAACAAAATATAAAAGTATGCATACTTTTATATTTGGTTTAATTATCGAATTTTTTAAATTTACATGTAAATGTAACCAACTGGAAATGTTAAATAAAATATACAATTTATTTAAACAAACTTTATTAGATAAATACAAATTTATTTGAACACAAATATATTTAAATCATATTTTTACTTTTTTTTAATTACTGTAACCAAAATTTAATCAAAATCAAAAAAATCTGATTTTAATAAAAAAAATGTGATTTTTTTATTTTTTTCAAAAAAATCATGATATATATATATAAACTACGCTTCGTCTTCAATTATTACAAAACAATAATAATAAACATATTAAAGGCATTCTGTATTGTAAAAGAAAAAATATATTAAAAAATCACACTTACCAAGTTATTTCAATGTAAAATTGCACCCAAACGACACTAGAATAAACACTTTTCTGACAAAATATAATAAAATTTAAAGTGGTCTGCCGCGCGCATGAAATCCTAAGCTTACAAATTGTGCCGTTTTTTTTCAAATTACCACTTCGTTTTAATTTAAAATACTTGTCGGTAATATTTTCCATTTTAAATATTTGTTCTAATTTTCTTTTACGTATAAAGTAGATACACGAACTGCACTAGTACACTAGATAAGCTAATTGAAAATATGGCTTTATTCGAATGTGGAAAGGGAGAATTAGTTTTAATGAAGTGGTCAAAAATCGAAAGCATTTCTTTTAAACAAATTATTTTTATATTTTTATTTTACTTTATTACTATATTATTTTTTCGGATTTAAAGTGGAATTTTATTACATATAATATGTCTAAGATAAAATAGTTTTCTCCATAAAACTACATTGGAATCCTTATAAAAAGCAAATTAGTTTAAAAAAAGTTAAAGTCGAGAGTATTATAAAACCAGTATAGCATCAATAGGGCATTAAGAGCAAATAGTTTTTTTATTTAAATTAAATTTAAAGATTACATTAAGTAATTTGTATAAGAATAAGTGAATAAGTTAAATAACTTTTAGTTTATATTAAGGTACATAACTTTAAAAGCAATATCGTTTTATTGAACATATTAAGGTACTTCTAAACACTAAATAAATCAAAACTATTTTACAATTGTTACTTGGGTAATAACTTGTAGATGTACAGAACATAAACATAGATCCATAACTCTTATAATTTATCACCGATTTTTATTAAAATCTTAAGGTTTACCAATTACACCAGGCTCTTTTAGATGCCGTTATGAGTTTTCCTAAATTTTCTACATTTTCTCCACTTCCTCGACTCCTCCATCCAAATTTTAATAACACGTGGGTTTCTCTCAGTTCCAGATCGATCAGCGGATCGACCATCCCAACGAACGACACGAACTCCCTGGACAGCTTCGCCGGCGAGAAACCGCAGCTGCGCACCCATCACCAGGTGCACCCGGTGCTCGACTCGCAGGTGCTGGTTTGCTACGAGAAGCAGAGCCTCGAACGGGAGACGACGCCTCCCGCCGGCCAGAACTGCTACCCCCTGGTGCCCAACATATGCGTGGAGGCCGGAAGGATTCAGTTCATCAACCAGGAGGCGGAGAGCTACGACGCTTCGCCTCCGCCGATGCTCAACGAGGTTTCTCCCACCAGCGGGAGGGTGACGATCACGCGAGGTTTGCAGACCGATGAGGAGGAGCTGGACAGGAGTTTGGAAATCGAAAATAAAGAAATACAGGTAACCAAACAAATATTAGAAATATTCCCCGACACCAAAACAACCAACGATGTTGGCATCTTCAGAAGCAAAGTGTAACTAAATCTAAATGCTAAATCAACCATATTTCGCTGGTTTGGTGCAAGACTATCCTATGTCCATGTTCAAAGAATTGGAGAAAAACAATATTAAACATTTCTATTTATTGTAACTAAATTGTTTTTTGCGTCATTCTTTAAAAAATTGGAAGGTATTGCATCCAAAGATTAATAAATAAAAACAAATTATGGAGAAAACAATTTAGTTACAATAAATAGAAATGTTTAATAGTGTTTTTCTTCAAGTCTTTGAAAATGGACTAAGGATAGTCTTGCACCAAACCAGCGATTTATACTTATTATAAGCTAAGGTTGACTGAACCGTAAACAAACACAGTTTACTAAATCCTGGACCGTAATCTCTTCAGTAAACACGTAAAGAGAAACTAACAAACTAATTTATACAAACCAGAGTTGGGTACCGGTCCGTTATTTCTATTTTTATAGATGTATAAACTTTCATAACTATCCAGCAAACTTGGTTCCCTAACTTCCTTAAAAAGTTAAATCATCAAGTATATGTTGGGCAACACTCGATTTCTCTGTCCTACCAAATCTAGCATGGGCCAAGTGCTCTTTGAACCTACCATGAATGGATCGTTTAGATTGTCCAACGTATTTTTTGACAGATTATTTCGTAGACTTTTCCATTGGGGGTTGGCTAAAAGGGTCTGAAGTATGTTGCTGCTTGAACTAAAAGCAATTTTGAAGTCCAGTTTTCGAAAAATCCCTTTTAGACCTCGGGTGTACTTTTTCTTCTAAAATTTTGCGCTGAAATTTTTTCATGGTACCCAAAAAAGACACCTGTGAAAACCGGAGCTCTTAATTTTTATATTTAGAGGTCGCGCATCGAAAATTTCTATTTCCCATTTAAATAACATGGGAAATTTTGTTTTGTTTCTTTATAATTTTCTAGCTCACAAACTAATTAGCAGATTTTTAAGCGCGATATATATTCTTGTGGGAAATTGAACGCTCTACAAAAAATGTCTCTTATCATTTTTCGATAAACCAACGAGGTCAAAAGATATTCAAAGTCGAAGTTAAATGTATATCATAATTGCATTTTTTACTTCAATTTTAGGCTACTTTATTAGTTAGTTATTATCAAATATAAAAAAAAATCATTCAAAAAATCAAAATTACCATGTTCAATAAGCCTTTTAAATTAATTCCACTGAAACACCTACTATTTCTGGAAAGAATTCAATAAAAAGGATTTTAATCGATCAAAAAAAAATTTAATCAATTCTTAAAATACTAGGTGTTTCAGTGCTTATTGAACATAGTAATTTTGATTTTTTGAATGATTTTTTTTATATTTGATAATAATAATAATGATAATAATTTTGATTTTTTGAATGATTTTTTTTATATTTGATAATAACTAACTAGGAATTTTCCTAAAATTGAAGTAAAAAATGCAATTATGACATAAATTTAACTTCGACTTTGAATAACTTTTGAACTCGTTGGTTTATCGAAAAATTATAGGAGACATTTTTTGTAGAGCGTTCAATTTCCCACAAGAATATATATCGCGCTTAAAAATCTATTAATTAATTTGTGAGCTAGAAAGTTATAAAGAAACAAAACAAAATTTCCCATGTTATTTAAATGGGAAATGGAAATTCTCGATGCGCGTCCTCTAAATATTAAAATTAAGAGCTCCGGTTTTTACAGGTGTCTTTTTTTGGTACCGTGAACATATTTCAGTTCGAAATTTCAGGAAAAAAAAAATAGTTGATTTTTTTGAACCAGCCTAATAGTCATAAACTTGACTTTTGTGGTCTGTTTGTAAAGTCGTTAACCTTAAATTTAAAAGGACACGTCATCAATCAGCTGATCAGGCACGGTTGTTAATGTGTTACTAAAATCATTGCATCAAGTGAAAGTGGTAGTGCAACTACAGGGAAATAGATGGCGTTTACATGAATAATACCATAGGGTTCCTAGATTTGGGACCTTAGAATACCAAAATTTAAAAAGTCAGTTTTATAAACTATATGATGCCAAAACTTTTGGCCCAAAAGTATGTTTTTAGCCATTTTTAAAGACATTTTCAGCTATAAAACCCAGAAATGTTGCCATCTAAAGTCAGTCCCTGGTATATACATTATTATTTTATGTATCCAACATATATTTTGTTAAATATTCTAATATATAATTAATATTAATCCAAGTTACCTCTCTAACAGCTGTTAAAGGTAACAAAGGTCCATTATTATCCCGTTCTGCCTCAAAATAGCGTATTAAAGATGACACCAACTCTTGACTCCGACTATTTAAATGCTTCGGCATTTTAAATATAGGAAAAAATAAAAAACGATATAACAATCACAAAAACCGCAATGAAAACTTAAACGATATAAAATAACACAAACAACAAACAAAATAAACGAAATTATACACGAATTAAACGAAATATTCAAAAACACAACTGACAGCTTCAAAATTCTAAAACGTCAATTTCTTTTACTATGCGTCATTTTATTAAGCACAATTTTAATCTAAACATGACAACATTGCAATTGCTGCCAACTAAAGTTGATTAAAATGCATTAAAATATTCAATTACAGACTTCGTTTTGTACATTTAGTGTTGGTACCAGTGCGCAAAATTATGTCGTCATCGATGACGTTTGCTTTTAAATTTACTATAGCAATGTCTTTTATAAAACTATAGTTTTATAAAAGACATTGCTATAGTAAATTTAAAAGCAAACGTCATCGATGACGACATATGACAACTTATGTTGATAAACTTTCCACTTAGTAACAGTAGAGCTTATAAGCTCTACTGTTACTAAGTGGAAAGTTTATCAACATAAGTTGTCCTTTTTTAAGTAATAGGTAACCAAACTTTAACAAAGTTTTTTCTTCATTAGATTATCGACCGGCAAGTTGTTAAATAAAGTTACCTTGATTTGTTTTCAAATCCCGATAAAAATAACTTCATTAGCTTGATTTTCAAGTTGCGTGCGGAAAACACTTACTTATCGCACTAGTTGCATAAATAACAATTAAGGATGGATATTTTTAAAATAAAAAGAGTCTAGATTACATTTAAATGTACGGAGTGTTAAGGAAAAAGGTACTCTGACTTTAGATCATAGCAAGAAGCAAAACTGCAAAGTGGAGGATAAAAGATTCAATTTTGATTTAATCAATTCCATCTTTGATATAGAATCTATAAATCCTCTTTCAAATATGAAAGTTGCAAAATACGGTTATTGCTTCTCCCTGGAATATAAACTTAATAAATGGATTCAGTGGAAAATTAAGAGTTCAATATTGCACTAGTAATTCAGACTTGAACTTTTTATATTCGAGAGTTTAAAATCATCGACAGAACGAATAAGAAAGAATCTTGGAATCGCATAAAAATGCAGTTTTTAAACTGCAAAATCCACCAGAAAGATGAGGAAGTTTAAATAGTCATTACTTCATAACTAAATTTGTTCGCAACGTTCAACTTTTTTGTTACTTTTGACCACCTTTATGCAATTCTTTTTGGTTCATCATCTCAAGATCTCTCGTCGATTACAGTTATTCAATGCATGCATAATATAGGAGCCCCGTCTGATAGCGCGGATGGAATTTTTCCTGTAGAATAATTAAACGTTACGATCTACATAATCCACTTATAAAGGTAAATGCGAACAATTTTGATTGCAAAGTTTGTGAATAATTTACATTCAGCGATTTTAAAATCTTGGTTAAGCCATAAAGTTAATACATCCCAAACAACGCTCAGGGTCTGTGTTTTCGGGCAAATCTGTTTGGCCTCCAAACTTGCCTAATTTGGATCCTATCGGCTATTGAGTGTGGTTAATCTTGGAAGCACTTTATCACGTGGAAGAAAATACATTTACAGAGTGTTTATAATATATTACCAGAAATCTGTTATAATTGTTATTCGGATTCCTTATACCTATTTAACGAGTGTGCGAAGTATCCAAAAAAAGATGCCCCTAAAATTACGGGATACTAGGGTGGTTCTTATTTGACCGATGTCGAAATTTTAATCGGGCCGCCCCCTCATTTGTTTTTAAAAATATAAAAAAAATTATGCCAAATTTGAATGACCTAACTTATTTCCTTCTATTGCCTGTAACAACAAAGTTTTCCAGATAGAGAATTTTTGCCTTTAGTATTAATTTTTTTAAACTTTAATTTTTCGAGAAAATGTAGAGGATATAAATTACTTTAAAACAAAAAAAAGAAATCATGTATTTGTATCCTAAGGTCTTTTTTACTTCGCTCGATTAATTAATTAATTATTAAAGTTTTTTTAAAACGCAATAATTTTATAAAATCATTAATAATTAATGAACAATTCTAATTTTTTGAGGAAATGAAGAGAAAATATGGTAATTTTAAACAAAAAAAAAGAATTCATGTTTATCCATCGTAAGGTCTTTTTTACTTCGTTATTTTATTGAAAATGACAAAAAAAGCATTTAATGCATAATTAGTGTGCTTTGAAACGTAATTTTGTACTTTAATAATGTTGGTGCTACATAAATATATTTTAGGCAATCTTAAATTATTTGTTTGTAAAACAAATAATTTAAGATTACCTAAAAGATATTTAGGAAGCACCAACATTAGTAAAGTACAAAATTACAATTATGTATACAGTGTGTCCACGGATAGAGTTCGGAAGAAGAAAAACTTTTTTATTTGTGGGTTTAGAAAAAAAGTCACTCTTTATAAAAACGTCTGCTTGTGTTAAAACTACAATTTCAAATACCAAATTTACGATTACTATACAGGGTTAGCCATAAACAACATTTTTATTTTTTTGGATTTCGTTTAAGAAGAAAAACTTTTTTATTTGTGGGTTTAGAAAAAAAGTCACTCTTTATAAAAACGTCTGCTTGTGTTGAAACTACAATTTCGAATATCAAATTTACGATT